TCAGTTGTAGCATTGAAGAAGAATGTTGAATAATCTATCATAGATTGCAAAAAAGAACAAACCAGTCTGTTTTGGAAGAAGTAAAGACACCAGAGTTTAGAAGCTACAACAGTGGGACTTTTCTCTAACTTGTTTTGGGCATGTTTCAGGAGGTGCAGTTCCTGGAAAAGGACATTGTGCTTGGAAAAGTAGAACTTTGGCAGAAAGGAGGAAGACTCAGTGAGATGGCTTCAGCACAGCACAAGATTGTGAGGGTGGTGCCCCGTGTGGGACCATTCGGCAGGACAGCTGACTGGAGGGCACCAGTGAACAGCACCAGCATCATATAGAAAGTTTTATGCTTTATGTGAATCTGAACATGACAGAAAAGAATGTTGTTGATAGTTTTTCTTTACCATTTAGGAAGGAATGGGGGGTGGAGCGGAAAGAACATGAATGTGTATGGATAGAATCCTGTGAATATGATTAACTTCAAATGTTTGCTGATTGATACCATGTTGGTGATTCTAGTACCATGAGTTGCAGTGCTGTTGATAGAATAGTTTTCCGAAATAGTAAACACATCTCTTAAAATTTTAAACAAAACACAGATTTTCTTTTTTTTTTCTTTTTTTGCTTTATACAATAGGTGTATTTCTGGAAAATTCATGGTATATTGAAACTATGTAATGTTGTGTTTAAAGTGAAGTTAGGTATAGTCTGAAATAATAATAAAGAGTTTTTACTAATAAGCATTTCCAGAGGATGTTTGAAAATTTGGCAGGATGGAAGCATAATTGAGGCTATGTCCACCATCCAATTATGCCCCCAGGAACACACTCTCTGAAGGGCAAGATCGCCCTGAGTTTATTTAATGCACATAGTTTTAGCCTTAATTACTTGCATAGCTTTCTTCATTTTGAGGATCTGTAAACGTAGGCTTTATCAAGTCTTTTTAACCAGCAGGCTTCAGGTGGCTATGACATAACTCTCTTCTTAACTCCTCTACTCCAAAAATTGACTGTGTAAAGTTTTTGCTACACACCTGTATGTATTTTTCTGAGATTTGGATATAGATTACATCAGATTCTCAAAGGATTCTGTGACCCACAAAAGTGTATAGTATAGTGGACCAGGTGTTTCTAAACCAGGTTATAAATCTGGTTATTCTTATTATGCTAATAGCCTCTACCACCATCATCATTGTCTACTTACCACCTGCTTTTTCCAGACCATAAATGGTAGCAACAGGCAGGAAATCAGGAGACATACTGCACTGTGAAAGTCTACAGTCAGGGACCTCTCAAATTACTGAAGAGCTGTGATGTCAGTTTCAGGATTAAGGCGCATCTGATTCAGGCCATGATCTTTCTCATTACTTGCTTTGCATCAGAGAGCTGGACAGTGAATAAGGATGACAGAAGAAGAATTGATGCCCTTGATCTGTGGTATTGGAGAAGAGCGCTGAACATCCTGTCCTGTGGACTGGCAAAAGAACACGCAGATATGTCTGGAGAAAGTGCAGCCAGAGTGTTCCTTTGAGGCAAAGATGATAAAGATTTGTCTCACATACTTTGGGCGTGTTGCTAGGAGAGGCTGTTCCTTCGAGAGGGACAAGATGCTAGAAAGACAGGATCAGCAAAAGAGAGAAAGACTCTCAACCAGATGGATCGATGCAGTCACTGCCACAGTTGTCTCTAGTGTGTCAGGAATTGTGAGGATGGCACAGGATAGGACAGGGTTCAGATATGTAGGGGTCACTATGGGTTATACTTCATGTGATGGCAACTAAAAACAGTCTTTAAAGGAAGATCAGAGTAGGTAAAATTGACCTGCTGACCTTTTAGTTGACACTGACCAACATGTCACTTGTTGATTGCCATCGAGTTGAGCATGACTCATAGTGACACTATGAACAAAAAACCTGAAGCCTTTCTGTAACTGTGGTCATTTCTCAAAGTTCATAGAGTTTCCAGAAGCATGTTATTTAGGAAGTGGATGCAATTCCTGCTTCCAAATGAATAAAGATAACGGTGCCAAAAGTAGTTCCAGGACAAAATGCAAATAGTGCAGAAAGGAACAAGTTAGTGAGAGACCTTGGAAAAATTGCCTCTTGTAGAAATATACCTAAAGATCTAGAAAATTAATCCGAATGAAAACTCTACCAAAGCCCTTCAATTTCCATATTTCATATTTTTAACTCCTCTGATAAAGGTGAACTTTACATGTAGATTCTAAGGTGATAATTGCACACTCATTAACTCATCGCCATTAAACATGAAACAACAATCAGTGTTGTAGATTTTTTATGTGTCTCATGTCCCCTAGCAAAGAATGTTCATCATTCTCTCACTGAACTACTGGTAGATAAGAATGACGAGAAACATGCCTGTTTGGGGTTAGCAGCGTGACTGATTACAAACTGTTCCTCCAGAGCTCTAGCACTAGTACTTGCTTATTTTCCATTTTAGCCAGAAAAATGGAATTGGACTCTGAACTGTTTGCTAGGAGTGTTGCCCTTATTGAGAGTCTTGGTTAAAGGGACACAGTGGAGCAGAAAATCTCTTAGTTGGCTTACTGTAGATCATTTTACATTTCACATATCCTTTAGGATTGCTATTTTAATGGAATTGCTTTCTTTTGGCCTGCTTTCCCCCCCCCCCCATGTGTTAAAGTGCTGGTTGAGTAAAAGGAATACTTTTAATTATATGTTAGTAATTTATAGGCTTTGGAATTTAATGTGAAATCTTTGTCCTTAAGACTCTTAATATTAATCATTTGTTTAAAATGCTTCTTCAGCCATTTTGAGATTCATATAGTTGGACAGTTTTTAAGTTTTTTCATTTACTCTCATTTGTCCTTTATATGGTGGAGTTAATTAGCAGCTTGTAAAATATACAAGCAATTGAAGCAGCAATGGAATTAAGATAATTTACACATTGGATGATTATCATGACTAAATAGATAATACTATTAAAAAATTTTACATCATAAGGGACAAATACATCATGGCACACACACATAGCATATATATTCATTATTTCACATTAAAATACATTCTTAACAGAACCTCTGCCTTGATAATGTATTCTTGTAACTTTGTATTTTTTTCTGTATCTTTCCTCTCATTCCAGTTTTAGGTCTTTCTCAGACAGTAGTTTACAACTCACAGACTTAAGTATAGGGTGAAATAATTTCATATCCTAGGTCTTAAATCTGTTTTTGTGGCCTTGTCTTTGTGAAAGCTATAAGCAGATAATGATTTTTTTTTTTTAGTTACTAAATTAATCTGATGTTTGATTTTCATCGCCTGTTGTGTGTCTTTTAATTATCTATTTTTTGTTCCTTCAAGGCTTTTTTTTCTCCCAGATAATTTTCTAACATTCAGTAAAATGGAGAGCTTTACTTTAGATAGTTGGGTAGTGGCCACAATAGTGGGCTCAAAAATCAGTAGTAGTAAGGATGGGGCAGGACCAATTGTCATTTTAATTCTGTTGTAAGATCACTGTGTGCATGACAGTATCTAACAACAGTTGACTGGAGACTTTTCTCATTCTGGGCTTCTGTGACAAAGTTTTAATAAGACATGATTGTTGTTGTTATGTGCCGTTGAGTCGCTTGAGACTCATAGCGACCCTATGTACAACAGCCCTAAACTCCGCTCTGTCCTCTGCCAATCGCACTGTCTCTGACACTCCCATCCCAGTTATCCCCGTCACTGAATCAGTCCACCTCATAGAGGGCCTTCCTCTCCTGCGCTGTCCCTCCACCCTCCCAAGCATGATGTCCCTCTCTAAGGACCAAGGAACCACCCGGTTTAACCCTTTCCAGGACAAATCTGTTTTCCTAGCAGTCCATGGTATTCTCAGTACTCTTCTCCAGCACCACAGCTCAAAGGCATCAATTCTCCTCCTATACTCCTTGGTCATTGTCCAACTCTCTGATGCATAACAAGTGATTGCGAAGACCATAGCCTGTATCAGATGCATCTTAGTCTCCAGAGAGACACCATTGCTCTTAAGTACTTTGGAGAGGTCTTGTTGATTAGCCTTGTTAAAAGAAAACATACAACATTGTAATAGTTCTATGTGGTTTTAGTAGTTTAGCACTGAAAAGGTTATCTAATTGTCTCGAAATGAAGAGATAACCTTTTGTTATATGAATTAATCTGTAAAGGCAGTCTGAGTTTCTCTTCAGCTAAGAACAAAATCCTCATTTTCCCCCCTCCTTTAAATATGCAAGGTCTCTCAAGTGACACAAACAGTCAGCACTGTTTACTGAATGGTAACAAATGCAAGGCCACCCAGAGATGCCTGAACAAGAACTGGTCAGTTTGCTTCTGTAGAGACTATATCTGGCCCCATACTGTAGCCAGCAGGATTCTGTTTAGATAGGTACCTCACACAAATATGAAATTAAAAAGTAACTGTGCTGGTTTTACTGTTGTTATTATTAGGTGTTGTTGAGTTAATTACAGCACATATTTATTTTTTTAAAATTTATTTTATTTCATTATTTTTTGTGTGTACCGTCAAATCAGATCTGACTGGTACAGGAGGAGATTGTTCCTCCTTCTCCAGCAGAGCACCTGGTGGATTTGAACCGTCCACCTCTGAGACTGTAGTTGCAGCTTCTTGCCACGAGGCCACCAGAGCTTGCCAATTGCAGCACATATTTAATCTAGGCAAGATTGAATCATCTTTTCATTTTCTTTGGTTTGCATTTTTATGATACAGAACCAAAGTTCAAAACAAAAAGTTTGCTTCTGAAACTCATGGCACAGATTATAAACATGCAACAAATATTTAAAATGAGAGAATGGTCAAATCTAATTGAGAAAAAGTTGTCCTTGGGTATAAAGTCTTTATATGAATGAAGAAGAAAATAAAACTCTTTTGTAATTGAAAAAGATATAGTAGTTTAACATTTTGATACCACAATTTGAATAGAATTGAGATGGTGTACATTGTTTTGAATTCTACTGTGAGTTGAATTTTCTTTTTAATTTTTTTACCTTCCAGGCCCCTTCACAGATGTAGTCACTACGAATCTTAAATTAAGAAATCCATCAGACAGAAAAGTGTGTTTCAAAGTGAAGACCACAGCTCCTCGCCGGTACTGTGTGAGACCCAACAGTGGCATTATTGATCCAGGCTTGTCTGTGACTGTTTCAGGTAGCAAATCGTGTTTACGTTTTGAATTTTGACATTTCATAGTTTTGAGATTTTCTTTTTTTCAAATTATCACTTTAGTATGGAGAGAAGAAAACAATAATCCTGTTTTGGACTTTAATGGTGGTCTGTTATTTTACCATATGCAAACTGGCAGAAAATTTCTCACCCTAATCTTGTGTCCATTTGATAGGGTATGACCAATTTATAAGTAATTATCATCAATTAAAAGATTTTAGATGTAGTCTTACTTATAGTGCACTACCAGTTTTTGTACTTACTATCTTTGAAATATTACACCATGTTTTCATAACGGATCTTATTCATATCTTTAGCTTATTACGCAGTGATGGAAGGGTTGTTCGAATACAGTACTTCTGTATTGCCTCTTGTGTCAAAGCGCACAAGTCTTTTTGCTTTTTCTTCATTTTATATGCCAGTAGTGTCCTGTACTTGAAAAGTTTCTTTTTATGACTCTTTTATATATTTGACTTGTAATCTCAGACATATTTTTCGTTCCTCCCATATGTGACTAGCTCACTCCTGTGGATTCTATGCTGCTGGCTAGTATGAATTATTCTTTCTTACCTTGCAGCTCTTGTTAACTGTATCCTCTAACGAAAATAAGAAATTAGTATGAGAAAGTGTACTTCACACTGAGACCATTTATTCTCTCTGTCCTAGTTAAATCAGTAACATTTACCTCCCAAATCAGAGTATTTGGAGATGTGGAGTTGGACGTGTGTGCATGTGGGCCAGCATGTGCACATGCTTGTTTCTGGCTTTCAAGCCATTTCTGGTTAAAGAAGAAAAAAAAAGGCAAATTACAGAGTAAGAGCCTAGAGCAGGCCCACTGAGCATTTTTGAGATGGAAACTGACTACAAGAGCTTGTTTTGACAGCAAATTCTTCCTCTCTAGATAGAATGACAAATAAATGGATCTAGAAGAGATTTTAGTGAGTCAGATTAACTTTGGAGAAATGCTTTGTTTGCTAAATTGATTCCTTAGTTCATTTCCACAGCTACTGGGTAAAATGAATGAGTAAAAAGATGTTAGGAGTTAATAGACTTTTCAGTCACAACTGAATTTAAGATTTTTTTATGTATTTGATCTTTATACCTTTTTTATTACGTTTGTCTTGGAAATCTACTATCCGGAAAATTTTCATGGTACATACAGTATTTTGTGTAATTCCTTATATTATCTGTTAAGTTTCATTTGTATAATATGACTTAAATAACCATATACTCTAGTGATAATATAGGCTAAGTGTTATCTGCTGACTTAAAGGTTGGTGGTTCAAACCTACCATGAGAGAACAGATGTGCCAGTCTACTTCTGTAATGATTCACAGCCTTGAAAACATTGTGGGGCTGGCTGTTTTACTCTGCCCTGTGGTCATAATCAGTTATCAAGTTGAGTCTCAAAAAAACCCTTTTAAAAAATACTGAAAATCATAACTGTTTCTAAAAAATGTTAATGAAATATTAATATTGTAACTTAGAGCTCATTAATCTGTTTGTTTCTATAGTTTATAATCTTATTTAAACAAATTAATATTCAAAAGAATGCTTTAAAATTAATTTGGAAAAATTAACATGACATTAGTAAATTATACTTTTTAATTTATCAGTATTTTTTTTCTTTAATACACAGTCTTATTTTATTACTAAGCTAAAACATTTTAATACTAAATACAGAATTGAGCATTTTATTGCTGAATAAAAAAATGAAGCCTTAATCGAGATTATAACTAATTTTAGTATGTAACTCATTTAATCTGAGTATTATAGACATTCTAATTTTTGCAAAGTTTAGAAATTTTTCTCAAATGAAAAAGGTTGTTTAATATTTAGCAGATCTGAAAAGTGGCTAGTGATTGGGACTATAAATAAATTTGATTCTGGAATCTTACTGTAAGTGAATCCAGTGTTTTGTTTCTGGAATCCTGTTTTAGTTTGTACATTGTAAAAGAGGAATCAGAACAATAGAATGAAAACAACACAGAAAGCAATGTAATATCTTCTTTCTTCTTATTTAGTAATGCTACAGCCTTTTGACTATGATCCAAATGAGAAGAGTAAACATAAGTTTATGGTACAGACAATTTTTGCTCCACCAAATACTTCAGATATGGAAGCTGTGGTAAGTGTAGGGTTTGGACAGAATTTATTTTGGGGTATGTTATTTAATCTGTGAATTTTGTTTTATATCTCAATAGAAAAACCAAATAATTTTTAAGTAGTATTTCTTAAAAATAAGTTAGAAATGCCACTATTACGAAGAAGATATGATTTTAGTAGATATTAATAGCTGTTAGTATTTAGGATTGTGATCAGTATGAAGTACAGCTATAAGTATTGGATGATTCTTGGATGACTCCATACTACGACCTCCAACAGCTGCTGTTAATCCTTTAGTTGCCCTTTGAGGCTTAGCCCATTTGTCACATTCATATCTTCTGTGTCTTATATTTGTTTCATTTATTTCTAGTGGAAAGAGGCAAAACCTGATGAATTAATGGATTCTAAATTGAGATGCGTATTTGAAATGCCCAATGAGAATGATAAATTGGTAAGTAGACATGTAAGAAAATAATGAAAATGGAAGTTTGAAATTAGTGATTGGGTTGTTTTCTGTTTGTTTTTTTTTAATAGCCTGGGGGATGTGCAGCATGGCTGTTCCACTTTATAAGTCTCAGTACTTTCTTCAGTTTAAAAAAAATGTGATATGATTTTTAATTTGATAATTTTTTTTAATCTAAAAAGAAAAATACTATAAGCTGTATGTTATTGTTTTACTGGGACATGAATACACAGAATAAACAACAAGGGGGGAAAATAACCCCTACTTTTTGGCAACCATATACTATCAGTTTGGTTTTGTTATTGTTAGGTGCCATCAAGTGTAAGTACAACTCAGCAATCCTATGAACAACAGATCTGAACCCTGTTCTATCCTGTGCTGTTCTCACAATCTCTTGATAACACGAATCCATTGCTGCAGGCACTTTGTCAATCCCTCTGGTTAAGGGTTGTCTTCTCTTTTGCTGATTCTTTACTTTTCCAAGCATAATATTACTTTGCAAGAGGTAGTCTCTCGTGGCAACATGTCTGAGAAGTACTCTGCTTGCATGGTGACTGTAACAATGAGTTCAGATAATATTTGAGATGGTGAGGATGGCATATGATAGAACAAGGTTCATATTTTTTCTTCGTAAGGGTCACTGTGAGTCACAGTCTCAATCAATGTATATAGTCTGGGTAGTAGTAATTTTTTTCTCTTCTCCTGGAAGGCAAGTTTAAATACTTTTTTGTTGTTTATAAGAAGGACTAGAGAGGTAAGTATCTTTTTGGTGACTAATAATATGGTTAAATAACATTATTTGGCACAATTTGTTTATACTTTTGCATGACCATTGATTTTCTGTAGAAGCCATTTGCCCTATTGGAAAGTAAACTTGCACAGGGGTTAATTACTGTTAGTCTTTACAGGTAAATTTAATGAGAAAGTTCTTAAATAATAACAATAATAATATTATAATACAGAAATTGATTATTGAGGGTTTTTTATTTGGGCTTTTTTATGCTTTTAAGAGATTTTTGAGGTATTTGCAAAAATAAAAAAAAATCTATTCCTAGTAAGCTAGTCCATAACTGGTGCAGTTCTTTTTATTGGAACCAAGAGCACATAACATTATCAGCATACATCTGGATGCTTTCTCAGAATTTTACAACTTAGTATTTAAACAGTCGTCTAGCTTCTGTTAGAGTCTGCATAGCAGGCAATTGATACATACATACATATCCGTGTACACACACATACACACAAAAGAGTATAATCAGAGTAACTTTGAGAGAAAATTTTGGAGTTGTTTTTTGTTATCTGCATTAGTGCTTGAATAAAATTCCCAGATTTCCAACCTGAGGGAGCATTAAAAGATAGTTTGAGACAGAAACATTTTAGCAGAAGGTGCTTTTGAAAAACCAAAGGCTGTTTATTCAGTAGTTTCAGAGTTTTTACGAGAATATTTCTTTCTGAGCTTAGAGGAGCTTCCCACAGATTATATTTCTACAAATGAATAGCTTGCCATACAGCTATTATTTCACTTAAATTATATGGACAGTCCTTTTATTCTGAAAAAATTCATCGATGAAACCACTTGTCATGTAGAGTTAGTTTCCTGTGGTTTAGATTTTGCTGCCTGTATCCTAAGGATGTCATTTAAATTTTCCTCTGTTTTTGTATTTTGTCCCTACCTTGGCTGTTAGTTCTAGAAGGGTTGATTAAATTTCTCTTTCAATGAACAGAGAACAGAAAGGTCAAGATTTAATGCTGTATTGTACATATACTCTTACGGAAGCACACGTTCGTTATTGTGAAGAAGAGAAGTTTTTTAAAGTTAGATTTTATTGTACAGTGTCTAGATGAGTGGTTCTCAGGCTAGTAGGCTGTGTCTTCCAAGGTACATTGGAAATATCTAGAGATAATTTTAGTGGTAGTTGTTGTGAGTGGACATATGTGAGTGCTGTTGAAAGTCAGTTACTGGAGGCCTATGACAGTTTATAGAAGCAGGAAAAATGCCGGAATTTTTACACCATTAGTTACAAGCTTTCAAGAAATGCATTTACAAACATCCTTTTGTTAATGTACAGTCCATTTTCCTCTCTTTCCTTGTTTCCCTCTCTTCCATCTTTATTATTAACGTAAGAATTTAAATATATTTTTATTTCAAACTCAATTTTGTTTTATCCTTAACAATGCTCAGATTGCCTAATAAGACCCTCCTCCAGTTAGATCCCATGGTTTCTTTTGTCTTCATGCTTGTCGTTAGCAACTGTCAAGTTGGAACTGACTCATAGCTGACCCTCCTATGGATTTTTATAGGCAATAAATCTTACAGGAGTTGATTGCCCATTATTCTCCCACAGAGCAGCTGGTGAATTTGAACTGTGTACGTTTGCTTTGGCAATGCAGCTCTTTACCACTAAGTGATGGATAAACTCATAGTCTAATATGATAATACTTTTTCCATGCCCATACCAAGAATAAATCATTTTGTCAAGAAGCTATGCTTTTTATCAGTGTGAAGAGATAGTTCAGTACCTTTTTTTCCTGGGCATTGGGGAAAGAAAATAATTTTCATTTGTGTCAATTCCAGTCGAACTCTTCTTTGGCCAAGATTACATACCCAAATGCCAGTTCTTAAATTTTTTTCAGGTGGTAACATTTTAATGGTAAAATCAGCAGAACAAAGGATATGTTTTTATTTTTGGTATAGTGATTTGCATTTTATGCCCAAGATATGTTCTTGAAAATTGTTGCTAACACTGGTCCTAATAGGGATGGACAAAAACCACTCTGAATCAGGTGAAGAATTATTGCAGGATGATAAACTTGATTTGTAGGCACATAGCTCACTTTTGTTAGGTGTCCCAAGTTAGAACTGACTTACTGCTTACCCTTCAGTAGCTTTTCTGAGGCTGTAATTTGCGCTGCAGATTACCCAACTTTCTCCTGTGAAGCTTTTGGTGTCTCGAATCACCTGTCTTTGGATTGGTAGCACAATTCTTAACAACTAGGCCACCTAGTGCCTCCCTATAACTAGGCCTCCCTACATAGCTCACTAGTGTTTCAGACATGATGCATCCCACCCTCCTCCTGTGATTATGAGGTTTATTAGGGAAGTTAACAGGCTATAATTTAGGTTGCTAGCAGGATTTAGTCATGACAGCTTTCTCAGATGTGGTCACAGGCTCTTTAAACTTCGGCCTCCACATCTTGAAGTCAGGGGTATACGCTAGTTTGGTTCTGCCAGCTATGGCATATTTCTTCAGTCCTCCAGGCTTGAGTAAAGACTTCTGGCCCTGGCTCCATGGATTAGCAGTCCCAAGTCCGCTTTGTCTCATGTTGGTCTCTGGTTCTCTATTGAGGCTGCTGTTGCTCTTGTGTAGACACTAGCCTGGCTGGCACAATAATCTTTCAGTTACATTTCTTGGAGGATGTTTTTAAGTATTTGAAATATGTTTTCTTTTATATTTAAGTGTTAAATGAAAGGAATCAAGAGTTTTTTAAAAAGAGCATCATTATTAGGCCCCTTGTAGTTCATTTGTGTGTTACATGTCTGGTCAGATCTACAATAAAGAAATATGCTGGAACTAGTAATTATTTTTTTAAATTTAATATCACACAGCTAACTTCTCATATCTGTTTTATAAAATAGAATTTTGGCAGTCTTGACCATTCCTACCTAGACTCATTCTTCTAATACTATATATATTTTTTTTTTTAATTTAGGTTGTTTATTTTTCATTTCAATGAACATCTACAGAGATTTTGGGATTCCATTCATTCATTGTTGCACCCTTCTCCCCGCACAAACCCCTCCCCCCCTCTTTTGCTCCTCTCCTTGAAAAGCAAAAGAAAAACTCCCTCATTGGTACCCAATCCCCCCCGCACCTCCCCAAACCCCACGCCCTACCCCCAAATATAATCCACTCTGCAACCCTCATTGCATACTCCTACGATAAAAATAATGCCCTAAAATATAATACTTTTAGACTATTCTCTCCCCCATAGACTTCAATGCCATGAACATATTTCATCCAGTTTTTCTCAGTCTTACCCCCACCCCAATGCCAGCCTCATTCTACAACAGTGGCACCATATTCTAATGCTATATTAACTAGCAGATTTTACAGAAACCAATGACTAAGAAATGTGTTAAGATTAGTGCACCCAGGAAACAGCCCCAGTCTCATCCTTGTTAGAGGACCCTGGTGCTTGGAAGAATCAAATAGGATGTTCATATTGGCATAAAAAATAGCAGATTTCTAGGGGTTGTGTATGTATGTGTTTTGGTTTTGTTTTTTTAATACTCTTAATAGCAGATCGGGAGTTCTGTTGGCTTAGTGATAAAGAGTTGTACTGGCAATCCAAAGGCTTATGTTGAATCCACTAGCTTCTCAGTGAGAGGAAGATGGGCAGTCTTTTTCCATATGATTTACTGCCTCTGTAAACCTGTGGAGGGTCTGTTGTGTGTCGGTTTCTCTTTCATGATACATAATAATAACAAGGATAAAACTTTTTCTAGCCAAATAAAAAAACTATCATTAATACCACAAACGTGTAAAACGTATTTAAAAAAAAAATCATTAGAACAGTATTTGTCAAAATTCAAGCTAGATTGAAAGGCCTTAGAAAGTGTGATATCATTGCTAAAATCAAATGAATCTTGTAGAAATGGAAACCAGAAAGATGTTTACTTAATATTTTATGGACTATATAAAGGCATCTGACTGTGTAGATCTTAAAGTATGGGTATGATCTTGAGAAATAAGCATCTCACAACATTTAATTATGCTCAAGCAAAACTTAATACAGAAGAAGAATTGATGCCTTTGAGTTATGATGTTGGAGAAGAGTACCGAGTATTTCAAACAAGTCTGTCTTAGAAGTTTAAAACAGGGTTAAATTAATGTTGTTAGGTGCCATCGAGTCAAATACAACGAAGTGACCCTATGATCTATATATCTGTATCCTGCCCTATCTTGTGCCGTCCTCACTATTGCTGA